AAGAAGGGCAGCCCAAGGCTCCGAGAGGCTTAGGAGGGACCCGAGCCCAGCCTGCAGGTGGATCCAGTTGCCCCAGACTCCCCTAGTGTGAAGTCCTTCTGTGGGCCTCCCCCAGGGGCCCTGACACTCCGGGGGTATAGAATCCAGACACAGGGTCCCGTTTGCTATCTCCCTTTTTGGTGGTGACAGCTTCAAGGACGGGCATCTTGGTGTCGACTGAGCCTCCCAGGGTTTTGTGGTTGACCTCGTGTATGCTGCTGGGAGTCCCATGGGGCAGGCAGTGGGACCCCATTTTACAGATAAGGATACTGAGGCTCAGCTCATCTGCCAGTGGAGATGAGACTCTGGCCTGGGTCCCCAGCTCCCAAAGTAGAGCTGTGCTCACCACAGCCTGTTATGTGTGTTAATGAGAGCCATCTACCAGTGTCCCCGGGGGACCCTTCCAAGAGCTTTACATGAAGTTACTCTTTCTTTTTTAAAGTTGATTTATTTATTTTGAAAGAGAGAGAGCGAGAGCTCAAGCAGGTAAGCAGGTGAGGGGCAGAGAGAAGGAGAGACAGAATCCCGGGCAGGCTCTATACCATCAACGCAGAGCCCAATGTGGGACTTGAACTCACGAGCCCTGAGATCATGACCTGAGCCGAGATCAAGAGTCGGACACTTAACCCACTGAGCCACCCAGGTGCCCTCGAATTTACTCTTAACTGTCTTTTAATAACCTGGTGAGCTGGCTATTTTTTAGTCCCCATTTTGCAGGTGAGTAAATGAGGCCCTGAGATGGGGGCTAAGGAACTCGTCCAACGTGTCATGGCTACTGAGAGGCAGGACCCTGTCAGGTAGCCTGAACTTCTTCCTAACTGTTGTTCCATGAGGGTCTCTAGTGGTGGCAATGGCTGCTCCTTCACATGCACGCTTCTGAGACAAGGGGCGCATGTGTGCCAACGGCCACAGGCTATGGGTGTGCGTGGGGCCGCGGGTCCGGGTCCTTGCCTGTAGCAGGTGCCCCACCCCCAGATTAGCCTGTAGCAGGTGCCCCCCCAGATTAGCCTG